ATAATTTTTTAATTATATTATTAAGTCGGGCGGGGGCAGGGTGGGTATTAACATCCCCGTCCCTGCCCCCGCCCCCGATTTTATCAATTGGGAAAACCCCAACCCGAACCTGAACCTGATAAACACGGGTTTTCCCCGTCTAAATCAGGGCGGGTTCAGGCGGGTACCCAAGGGGGCGGGTTAGATTGTCATGCCTAATTCTAAGTTGGAGTGGGGGATCGAAGGAGTGTGGATTGTGATGTTCGTTGGGACTTGATGGGATGACTCTTCCTGATAGGCATGCCTTGTTGGATGCCAAGATCGATTTTGGCTCTATAATTTTGTGTTTTCACATTTGAGGGTCGATATCTCCTCAACATCCTTTTCATGCATTTTTTGCATAACGATCATGTGGATTGAGAGGTTGTTTATGGTTGTATGATGTTATGTGGTAAAGTTGGTTTATGTACATGCTATATGGAGTAAATGATGATTGATTTGTACATGCTTAGGAATGATATATATCGATTGTTTGAAGTAGGTATTCTAATATAATTTGATATGCATGTATGATATGAGGATAGATGGCCTTATGGATCAATTAGCGGGCGTTTAGTAAGGTTGACCTCAAGGTGTGATATCATCAAATTAGAGTTGAGAGTGAGGATTTATCCTAGACAGTTCTAGGCTAAATTATCTAAGCATGAATTTTGGTTGTATAAGAAAAGTTTTCTAGGTCCTGTGATTTTAGTGGAGGTATAATGTAGATGTATCTAAGGTAGAAGATGTACTTAAGTGGGAGATACCAAAGTTAGTTAGTGAGGTTAAGAGTTTTCTTAGATTAACTTATTATTATAGGAAAGTTATTGAGGAAATTCCTAAGATAACATTACCTTAGAGTAGATTGACGAGGAAGAGGAGTTGCCTTTGTGTGGGATGGTAAGTATGAGAGTAGCTTCCAAACTCTTAAGGAAAGGTTGGCTAGTGCTAATATTACTGGATTTTAGTAAGCCTTTTATGGTATATAGTGATGCTTCTAAGATAGGTTTGGATGGAGTGCTGATGCAAGAAGGAAAGGTAGTAGCTTATGCTTCTAGGAAATTGAGAAATCATGAGAGGAATTACCTTATCTATGACCTTGAGTTAGAAATTATGATATTTACACTAAGATTTGGAGACAATACCTAGATGATTCTAAGCTTGAGGTGTTTAGTGATCATTAGAGCCTTAAATATCTTTTGACCAAAGAAGATAGTTGAAATTTCTTAAGGACTAGGATTTTAATCTTAGTTGTGTTATCTAGGTAAAGCCAATGTCGTGATCGATGCTTTGAGTAGGGAACCTTTATATTTGCCTTTCCTTATGATTAGAGAGATGGATCTTTTAGTTCAAATTAGGGATTTAAGCGTGACTTATGAGGTTACCCTTAGTAGTGTGAGACTAGGTATGACTCGAATAACTAGTGGATTGTTAAAGGAAAATTGGAGGAACATAATTTGTTGATTCATTTTGGTGATAAGATATGAGGCTATAGGACAAGATAATGGATAAGTGTTTACCTTGGGTATAAATGAAGTGGTAAGACTTTGAGATCGAGTATGTGTATCTAGTGAACTTATGCTTAGGTGGTTGATCTTTAGAGAGGGTCATAGAAGAAAAGCTAATATTATGGCAGATGCCTTGAGTAGGATGACCATTCACCTACCATCTTTGATGATTTAAGGGTTGGATTTGATTGAAGAACTTAGAGACTTAAGCGTGATGTGTGAGCTCACCCTTAGGAGCATTGAATTTAGTATGTTGAAAGTGACTAATGAATTAATGGACGAGATTAGAGAAGCCTAGGAGTTAGATCCTTTCTTAGTGAACCAAGTGGAGAGGATTGGTAGGGGTATAGATAGCCCTTTACGAGTGGAAGTTGATGGTGTTTTGGGGCTCAATGATAGGATCTATGGCCTAGTAATCTTGAATTTAGGAAGATGATCTTAGAGGGAGGACATAAGAGTACTCTTAGCATCCATTTAGGAGCTACTAAGATGTATCAGAGTGGCGCAGCGGAAGCGTGGTGGCCTAAGGTGAAGAGAGGAGTAGAGGAAGTTTGTGTACTCATGTTTAGTATGGTATAAGTCTAAGACAGAACATCAGAAGCCTTTTTGGACTTTTGTAGCCTTTAGATGTCCCTGTTTGGAGGTGAGATAATGCGTCTAGACTTTGTTGTGGGTTTGCCTAGGAAGTTTAGGAAGAATCTTGAGTTTAATGAAGGAGTCATAGTCGAACCTCTTCATTTCAGAAATTCGAGGACGAATTTCTTAAAAGGGGGAAGTATTGTAACACCCCAATTTTCAAAAAGGTTATTATTATTATTATTATTATTATTATTATTAGATGGTATTTGGTCATAATTATTTTAATAATTATAGAGGAATATTATTTTGTACGTTTTAAATAATTATTATTTTGGACAATTATTTTGTACGTATTAAATAAGTATTTTTATTAGCATTTTTAAATAAATATTTATATGTTTTAAGAGAAGGTTGATTTTATATGATATTTTGTTATTGAAATTATATTATTATATTTTGGGTCAGAAATATATTATTATTATAGAGGAAAAACATTTTATAGTATACATGTATTTATTTTATTTAATTATTTTGAGGAAAAAGAGAAGTGGGTTAAAAGAGAAGGAAAACGGGTTGGGTTGACCCAGCCCAATGGATTAATTTTAAGAAAGGAGTCAAGTAGCGTTAACCCTATTTGCCTCATTTGCGTTCTGAAGGGTTAAGGGAAAAAAAGAGGGGAAACAAATAGCTCTAAGGAAGAGTACTCAAGAACGATCTTAGACCACACCAAGATCATTCGTCTTCTGCTCATCCAGGTAAGGGGGGAGTGAGAAACCTCACTCTAGGTGTGGGAATATATGTTGGGTAGTGGGATTGGCCCCCAATCCCGTGTTTGTTGTAGTTGTTGTATGCTCATGTATGAGGAGTTTTTCCCAATTGTATATGTTTTGCCTATTATTTTTCTTATATGTAATTAATCGTATGATTTGAGATCTCTATGGGTTCCTATGGGAAACCCTAAGGGAATGCATTGGTGATTGTAAGAGGAGATGGTTTGAAGAGGTAATTGTATGGGTTAATTGTATTATTTTAAATGTTTATTGTATGAATTAGAGTGCTCTGTGGCTTCCTATGGGAACCCTATGAGAAACAGGTAACATATGAATGTTTTCTGTTTTGCTTTCTGATTGTTCTGATGTATTCCTTGTTGAATGAGATGTATAAATATGTGTTTATTTTTGAAAATATACCAGTTTTGATATGATTTTGAGTGCTCTATAGAGACTGTATGAATATGATGAGATGATGTGAAAAGTGATGACTATGTGAATATGATGAGATGATGTGAAAAGTGATGACTATGTGAATATGATGAGATGATGTAAAAAGTGATAATGAGACATGATGATGTGATATGATAATGAGACATGACAATGTTATATGAGAATGCATAGAGTCTTGATTGACATGCATC